TTAATTATATCGCAAACGATATCTGAAATTGATTTTAATTTTTTAATGAAAACTATATATTGAATGCTATTTGAGGTTTAGATAAAAATTAATCGTCGCTTGAAATGTAAACTATACTTATATTTATGGACAAAAACTATTGAAATTAATTATATACTTATAAACGAAATATTATTATATTTTATAAATTGCTAACAAAAATATTTTAATTTCAAATGCATTTACTTTTGTTTGTTTTCCTCTCCCATGACTTAAAATAGTTTTTAATAAATTGTGATTTTATTGGTAATTGTGTTGAAGTGTTTGTGATTTCATTGTCTTACGGGTTGTGTTATAATGTCGTTCATGGCTTGTGTGTTGACCGTAAGCGACACTTGCGATGTCGACCACTCAAAGGACACGAGTGGACCGCTGCTGACCAGTCGGCTCACCGGTAAGGGCTTTGATATGATCGAGACGGCTATTGTGGCCGACGATGTGCTCAGGATTCAGGTAAATGGAGATTAAATCATCATGATATTCATGTAATTTAATCATGTTAATGTTAAAGGGTAAACTGTGCGAGTGGTCCGATAGAGCTCTCGGTGTGGATTTAATTGTAACAACCGGTGGCACCGGCTTTACAGCACGCGATGTAATCATATTTGCATTAATTTATAAACAATAAAAGTGTAATTTTATGACTACTATAAAAAGGTCACTCCAGAGGCAACCAAAGCCATTGTGGACAGGGATGCGCCCGGTATTGCTCACGCCTTGATTAGCGGTTCGTTGAAAGCGACACCAATGGCTATGTTATCGAGGTATAAAAATTGTCAATAGATTTACCGTCATTGTTATCACAGGCAGTAATATTTATTGTGACAACAGGTTAAGTGCGGGCATAAGAAAGCGGACACTAATAATAAATTTTCCGGGAAGTGCTAAAGCGTGCGACGAGTGTCTCGCTATTGTGGAGCCGGTGTTGTCTCACGCCATACATCAGTTGAGGGGCGACACCACAGCCACCGCTTCCGCTCATAAACAACTACAGCAACCGCTTAGAAGTCTGTCTCAAATTATGGCACAAATATTGTTTGACACCATTTATGATAATTTATTTCGCCCTTTAAATCACAGGCAAAGTTCAACTGCAAAGCGTTGGTCTGCGGCCCCGACACTCGCAGTACCCCATGATCTCGATGGACACCGCTATCAATAGGATTATTGGCGAGTGTGTGGCCATCACTGACGTTGAATACATCGATTTGGATTGTTTGGATCAGTTGATGGGGCGATTGCTGGCCGACAGTATTTGTGCCGCTGTGTTAGTAACCTTTGCGTCGGATATTGTGATTAATTAAACGATTTATTGGTTGTCTTTAGGCCTTTGCCGCCATTTCGGGCCTCTATTAAAGATGGCTATGCAGTAGTGGCGGCGGACGGTTCCGGTGATCGCAAAGTATTGGCAAAAGCGGCCACAGCTGGCGGTCAGGTGCCGATGGAGAGCATTGAACTGACCAGTGGTTGCTGTATGCGAGTCAGTACGGGTGCGCCACTGCCCGCCGGTTGCGATGCCGTGGTTCAGGTTGAGGACACCAAAGTTGTCCAATTGTCCGAAGTATGGCAACAAGTTTTTATTTAAGACTAAATTTATTAAATTTTGTTATCTTTGCCACAGAGTGGAGAAGAATTAGTGATTTGTATTGAAAATGTGCCCAAAGTTGGTCAGGATATACGTCCCGTGGGTTGCGGTAAGTGTTGAGTCTTAGAGTGAAATCACATAAAATTGTATACATAATTGCAAATATTTTTCAACAGATATCCCATGCGATGGCAAACCAATTGTGAACCGATTCACTCAATTGGGACCAATAGAGTTGGGTCTCTTGGCCTCTATCGGTATTCATACGCGGATCCCAGTGTTTAGACGACCAGTGGTGGCCGTACTGTCCACAGGCGATGAGGTTTAGTACATATCTTATGTATAATTTGTTTATAACTTTTTAATGTCAAATGCCTTCAATTATTTTAAAACCAATGGTCAGATCGGAATCGTAGGCCAAACTCTTATAAACAATTTGAGTAAAATTATAGTCAATTGTCATTCACTTTAACAATAGTTAACACTTTATTTATTTTTAAAGTTGATTTAAATATACGTCTGAATAATTTGGACTTAACCTGACCTAACCTAACCTAATATAACTTACAAAACTGGTAGCTGTACTGTACATTGCAATATTACATTGTTGCACGTAAATTGTTAAACATAAGCTAACCTAACCTAACACAACACAACACAACACAATAATTGTGACAAAAATGCTCTCAATTATTTTGAAACCAATGGTCAGATCGGAAACGTAGGCCAAACTCTGGGCCCATATCAGGTGTGGGACTCTAATCGGCCGATTTTGATGTCACTTCTGCGCCAAAACGGCGTCCAATCCATGGATTTGGGAATAGCTGTGGACGACGTGAACGACGTGTTCGGTCGTATGAGACGCGGACTATTGGCCGCCGATGTGCTCATCACATCGGGTGGCGTATCGATGGGTGAACGGGATCTGCTTAAGCACGTGATGGAAGTGGACTTCGGCGCACAAATACACTTCGGACGCGTAAACGTAAAGCCCGGAAAACCGGTCACTTTTGCCACCGTTTCTATCGATGGTCGCAAAAAATACATTTTTGGTTTACCAGGTATTGTCACAGCACTTGATACCAGTCCTCCCCTGTGTTTAGTGTTTATTATAATAATTCATACCATTTGATCGACTCGTAGGCAATCCTGTCAGCGCTTTTGTCACATTCAACCTCTTTGTCAAACCATTGCTCGACTGTCTGTCCAACAAAGACACTGTCAATGGGTTAGCGGACATCAAGACATACCAGCGCTGCCAACGCGTGAGACTTGAATGCGATGAAAAGGTGTACCGTTTGGACGATAGGCCAGAGTTCGCCCGCGCGGTCGTCTCGTTTGGTACGACAGGATTGGAGGCCGGATTCCCGACGGCCCGACTCACTGGTAATCAACGGAGTAGTCGCCTCTTGAGTGCCAAAGACGCCAACGCTTTGGTATTATTGCCACAAAAGTCCGATTCAGTCGATAAGATTAGTTGCGGTGATTTTGTGACCGCTTTTCTCATCTGATTTAATAATTATTTAAATTAGTTTTTATAATAAAAGTTTTTCAAATTTGAATATAAAATTAATTAAATGAATGTTTTATTAGTTTTTTGATATAATGTTTAGAAAGTGATGCGAAAAATGACTTTTTAATGTATTTTTAAACAATTTATAACAGAAATTATTTTGATAATAGAATTGATTTTTTATATCATATAAACGATTAACTTATTTGTATGAATGAAATGTGATTTCTCTATGAATCAAAGACTAATCATCGATAATAACCATTTGGGTATCACTTGAGTACACATTTAATGATAAGATTGCCTTTTATTTGTCCATTATTTTGGTCGGGAAGTCCTAAACCAACTTTAACTATATCTAACACACGATAACAATACAAATAGTTCCACTGATTCGAGTCCAACACCACATCCAGTGTCCCGCCGGTCAAAAGGGGAACAGCGATGGAGTGGTTGACGTGACAATACGTGTTGTAAGTGTACCATTGATTTCCATCCCATTGCATGTGAATTTGTGTACTTTGTGTACAATTATGAGTACAATTCATTTGCGCGTTGTATATGACATCATTGCCGTGGCGTTGGAACCGGTCGTCGGGCTTGTCTTTCAGCACAAACACTATATCGCCGGCAACCGAATCGTACGGCTTCTCCGCGCGGCCAACAAACACAATACGAGTGCCCGACTGCGAGCCCGGCCTCACTTTGACGGACAGTATTTCCGATTCAGTTGTGTACTCTCGGGGCGAAGACCACACTTTTCGGGTCACTTTCATACGCTTAGTACAGCCCAGAAGCACATCCCGGAGCGACACATACACCGTGTGTTCTATGCATTTATTAGTGGCGGTTGCGGTCGGCTTCGCACCGCTACTCTTTGCGGAGGTTTTGGTCTTAGTCTTAGCCTTTGGCGAAGTCTTTGGATTATTTGTTTGCTTCGGGTGTGAGATGTCATACATCTTACGTCTCTCAGTATCGCTGAGCACTTCATACGCCTCACGAATCTGTAGAAACTTATGGCCAGTATTTTTGGACCTGTTTTTGTCCGGATGGTAGCGAAGGGCCAATCGGTGGTACGCCTTCTTGATGTCCAACTGACTCGCATTCCTCAACACTCCTAATATCTTATAGTAATCTATGTTTGCCATCACTTCCTATACTATAATTATACCAAATATTTTGAATTTTAATTAACGGTTGAAATTCTCAATTTCTATTGACTATTAGCTGTTAAAACACAATTACAACTAAATTTTGAATGCAATTAGTTTTGCGGTTATAAACAATTTGAGTTAAATTAAAGTCAATTGTCATTTATTTAAACAATAGTTAACACATTATTTATTTTAAAAATTGATTTAAATATACGTCTAAATAATTTGGACATTAAATGCGCGCAAAACAGAGACGAAGACATAATGGGAAAGAGCGGACCAATTGATGGCACAGTTGTAGTCATTTGTGACAATATTTCTAAATGATTACTTTTGAATGCGATTATATGACCCGTTCCCCCAAACCTAACCTAACCTAACATAGCTTACTGTACAAAACTCATTGCAATACATTACAATACGTATTGCACGTAAATGGTTAAGTAAGCTAACCTAACCAAACACACAATCATTTGTGACAAAAATGCTTTCATCGAAACCCTTATGATATTTGTTGCCATCAATGGATCCGTCGAAGACAACGATTGGCACAATTGGACACGTGTTTAGCACTTCTAAAAACGATTTGGCTGTACTTTTTTATATGGGCCGCGCCCCCTGGTGGAATGACCTTACTGGGTCAATAGCACAAGGTTCAAGGGTCATAAATATGGTTTCAAAGTTTGCGAAAATTCATGGGTTTAAAAGTTATCGAGGGTCAAATGAACTATTTTTACATGTTAACCTATGGGATCAAAAAACAATATTTTATCTAAATATAATTAATTGTATTTTTAGATACTACATTAAATGCTGATTATGTTAGCGCATTTATGTTTAAAAATTTCAATCCAAAGACAAAATATATTAAATTTAAATATTTAAAAAATCAAAAAATTTTTGTGGGTTTTTAAAGTTAAAAATTAATATTTCAATTTAAAAACTAGACTACCCAACTGGGTGGACTTAGGTAAGCACTAAAAATTAAAATTTTTATATTTAATATTAATAATTGTATTTAAAAAATTGAAAAAACTCAATAACTTTTGAACCCTTGAATTTTCGCAAAATTTGACACCAGATTTTTTTAGCCGAGAATTTCAGGAGATANAAATTAAAATTTTTATATTTAATATTAATAATTGTATTTAAAAAATTGAAAAAACTCAATAACTTTTGAACCCTTGAATTTTCGCAAAATTTGACACCAGATTTTTTTAGCCGAGAATTTCAGGAGATTAATTTAATCAATTTAATTGTGTGACCTATCAATTTAATGTACAATTTAATGCCAATCACGAATATCGAATCAGATTTAAAATGGGTATGATAGTATTCGAGATATTCGACATAAACTTCTTAACTTAATGCTAATACATAGTAATGGTTAAGAGTGCTGCCCAGGATAACGATATCCTACCGCATAACTCTATCCATTGGTTTAAGCATTTCATTGATTTGCTGTACTCTATGTGTGACATCTTTATTATCTCAATCATTGCATTCATTTAATATTTAATTTATTGTTTGATTGATTTATTATATGTTTGCTTTTAAATACACTTAATTAAGCTACTCTTAACGAGAATTTAAATAATTATTTTTATGAATAAATGAAAAATGATGTATAAAAATCGAGTTAACATAACATTACCGTATTTATCCTCATAAACATACCGGTAACATTATGTGAATTTCAGTTCAAATGTGATTTTTCAAAATTGGTGATAACATTACCTAGATAGTATTATCCCCTTTGTTAGATTTCACATAATATTACCGGTATTTTAATGAGGATAAATACTGTACGGATGTAATACAGACTGTATGCAATAATATTTTTTAAAAATTAATTTCAGTATTTGCAAGTACTGTATGATATGGTATGTGTAGAATACAAAGGGATCCGACTGTACGGCGCCTACGAGAGCGTATGAGACTCACAATAAAGCCTTGTTTTAGCCAAACGATAGGCGCCAATGAATATTTGGAAGCCTTTATATATGCCGACAGGATTTACAGCAAAGTTCGGGACGGAACGGGACAGGAAAATATTTTAACATTTAGTACAGGATTGGGACGGGAATAGATGTTTTCAGGACAATACGGGACGGGAATGAGTTTTAACTGCCATTTGGAGCACTAATTCGCAGTGCTTTTGGTACCAAAAAGCGTTAGATTATAGGCTATAATAACGCCTTTGTCTTTGAATTCACAGTCAGTGCGGTTTTGGACTCCGATGTGAGAAGTCCTGCGATTTTTTGCCATAATTTGGTTTTAGCCTTACTTTTTAGTTTTATTCATTCAATGGTTGGCTTTGATTGCAATCGTTTCCCCGATCTTAAGACCGACCACTCTTTGAGTGGTCTTTGTCTACAAGTGTTGGACAAAGCGGTGGACACTCGATGTGAACATCCCTTCTGTCACGAGTGTCTCAATCAATGGCTTTTAAGCCCAAAGATGACCGAATGTCGGCAACCATTGGTCACCAGAAGTCAGTCGACGGATGCAAATGTTTTGGTGGATAAGAATCGGCGCATAAATGCAATGATAGATATTTTGACGATCAGATCAGACTTTGGTCTCCACACCGACGACCGCCTCAATACAGCCGAAGCGGACGGTCGAGTGCTCGTCAATGTCCGCCACCCGACACAAGATCCGGACATATATCTGCCCACAAAGTTATCGCAAGCCATACATCCCCATCAAATCGGTGGCATTCGCTTCCTATACGATAATATAATCGAAAGTATTGACCGCTACGAGAATAGCCAGGGATTCGGGTGTATCTTATCTCACGCCATGGGTTTGGGAAAGACTATGCAAACCATTGGTTTAGTAGACGCGCTGCTCAGGGAAGAGATCGTCAAACATGTATTGATTGTACTGCCGGTGGCTGTGGTCGGCAACTGGCGCTTGGAGTTTGACCGCTGGTCTCCCGCCAAACGCCGCGCTTACGACGTCTACGCCGTGATGGCTGTCCAGACCTATGACCGTCAGGCGCGTGAAGTACGCAATTGGCGTAAAATCCACGGCGTTTTGCTTATCGGTTACGAAATGTTTAAAGGAATGATCGCTGAGAAAAACTTTAAGGCCAAACAGTGGTCAGCCTATGATCGGGAAGACAATCCGGATATTATCGGCCGAATGGACGGCAAACGGATCTCTATTCTGACACTGTTTGCCATCTGCACGAAGATCTGGAACCATCCCGACATCTTCTACAAAGTGGTCCGCGAAGGCATCGCCAGTCAGGGCCAGGACTTAGAGGAGGCGCTGAGCGATGATAACGAGGCCAGGAATGGGATAGAAATGAACAAAATAGCGAACCGAATGACCGACTATTCATTCGCCGCGCCTATAGTTGAGGGCTATCGGCAAGAAATGATTGAAAACTCATATAAAACTGTGCTTTTGTTTGAGATAATACGCGAGAGTATAGAAGTGGGCGATCGACTTCTGGTGTTCAGCCAATCGCTGTTGACTTTAGACTTAATTGAGATATTCTTGGACTCCCGAGACGTGCCGCTGACGGCCCGGCGTTGGCGTAAAGATGATAACTATTATCGATTGGACGGCTCGACACCCGCTAAACGGCGCGATCTTTATATCAAGAATTTCAACGAATCAGAAAAAGTTAAATTGTTTCTGATCTCTACCCGAGCGGGTGGTCTGGGCATCAATCTGACCGGTGCTAACCGTATAGTAGTGATGGACGCCAACTGGAATCCATGTCACGACAGTCAGGCCGCCTGTAGGATATACCGCTACGGACAGGTGTGTAAAACACTCTTTAACTTATTTTTCAAAACAATTTTTAGATTCTATTATCATTTTGCGCTCCTTTACAGCAAAAGCCGTGTTATATCTATCGACTGGTTTGTGACAATTCACTCGAGAGGAAGATCTCTAACAAACAGGTTTGCAAACAAGGGATGGCTAAGCGAGTGAAATGAATGGCAAACGAAATGCAATGAATGGACACAAAAGGCCAAAGCAATGGTTGACAAATACCAACATTTGGGGCTCGGTTTCAGTGACCCGTCTTTTCTTAATTTAATAAATCGAAAGACGGGTCACTGGAAGCGAGCCCTACGACCGCACAACACATGCTATCGAGAGCTAAGGTTCCAGTCATTGAGTCGACGAAATTTTAAACATTGTATACATTTTAAAAATCCTATTTAATTATTTCTTTTAAAAGTTGTTATTAATATGTTGTAAATTACTGTTTATTAAAAAAATTAGTGTTTTAATCATCAATACGTTTTAATTATTTAATTTAATTATTAATTATATAAAACTACTTTTTTTTGTTAGAAATTATAAAATTTTCGTTAATTAAAACATAAATTTAAACTTTTTTAATTTAAAAATTTAGTTAAAAATTCTAATATGACTCATAAATACATAAAATTTCATATAAAGTACTTAATTTTTAAATAAATAAAACTGAATATTCGCGAAGAATTTTGACCTTTAATTAATGTCATTAATAAATATGTCATACAATCTGTTTATTAATTACTAAATTGTATTCAAAATGTAATAAAACTTTTAATATCTAACATCATTTAGAAGACTAATTTATTGACTGAAAACATTGATTTGTTGTATAGTTGTTCCGGTGATAAGACTTGTTTTGAATTGTTTTGTATTATTATAATTTTTAGATTGTGTTATATTAGGTTAGGTTATGTTTAACAATTTACAACAATGTATTACAATGTGTTTTGTACAGCTAAGTTAGGTTAGGTTAGCTTAATAATAGTGAAACTACCAAGTGGGTCTTATTTGATATGTTGCGGGTTGGTATGTGTGTGTAGAGTGTGGCCACGAGATGAACATTTAGGCATCAAATCGTGCCAATGGCCACAAACATGCGAGTTATGATCAAATTTATGAGCATTTTTACAGGGCTTAATGCATTTTTTTTTTGGTGAATGACATGACCAGAGCGTTGCATTATAGTTAAATATAAAACCCCAAATAGTCACTATAATAATTACGAAAAACATCCCAAATAGTTACTCAAATAGTTACTTATAATTTGACAAAATAGATTTAAAAATTATATAAAATGTTACCGAATGACAGTTGCACTCATTAATACATTAAATATAACTGTTTTTAAGAATATTTTTAATTATTTTGGTCAAAACCCTGAATACATACAACGAATAAATTTGATCATTCTATTGCTTTGAATGATAAATTATTTCAATATTTTATAATAACCTTTACATTCATCATAGTTTACTGTATTTAATTTTTTTCTAACTAACAAATGTAAATTATGTTGTGATTTTTTTTGTGTTTTATACTAAAATATACCACAAACTTGAAAAATGTATCAAATAGTTACGTATAAGGTAATAAACGTTCAAATAGTTATGAACGCCTCAAATAGTTAAATATAGTTAAAATAAACTTTCGGTAAACTGACCCCCAATACATGATCGGTTCACATCCCGAGTCTGGGGGTAATGCTATTAACCGCTAAAAATAGGTGGTATAGTTAAATGCAATTCCCTGGACATGACATATGTGAATCATCATTTCTCAATGCATAGAGGTGTATGTAATTAACTAGAAATTTGGCCATAACTCGGGTGCCTGTGGCCATTGGCACGAAATGATTGTTAAATCTAGTGACCACATTCTACACATACATACATACATTCTGTACATACAAACCCGCACTAAATTGGAGAATTCCACAATTCCCGTTTTAGCTTAAGTTATATTAGGTTAGGTTAGGTTACTTTAACAATTTATGTGCAACAATTGCAACGAGTGTTGTACAGCTAAGTTAGGTTAGGTTAGGTTAGTTTATGGTTAACAATCTACGTGCAACAATTTACTACAATGAGTGTTGTACAGCTAAGTTAGGTTAGGTTAGGTACAGTACTGTATGTAATTAAAGGTGGGCAGTGTACTGTAGGTTTGAGGGAACAGGGTCATGTAATCGCATAAAAAAGTAATCATTCAGAATGGGTAGATTTTATTTATTTATTTAACAAACATTTAATACAAATAATTAATTAATTAAAAACTTCATAACAACAATTAAGATGTGATTCTCAATGTAAAGAAAGTATTAAATATAAAATGTTATTTATTTCGTTGTTTTAGTTTTGATCGTTTAGTTTTTGCTTTTAATCCCGGATTCACTGGTTTTTTACATTTCTTGGATTTCCACGCGAAGACATCAGTGGTCACCGGTTTGAGAGTCGAGTGCTTTATGTTAATACTCTGGACATCAGTTGACGGCATATCTCTTAACAAAGTTGTAGTATTCGGTGGTTTCGCGTAATCATTGGTCGGCAACGGCTTAACACTGTCTTCTGATCCTATTATTCTTCTTCTTTCATTTCTGCGTCTTCTGGTTATACCGTATATAATGAGTGACACAATCGCCACAAATAGTAAACCCAACGCCAGGCCTAATGCTATGGATTGGATGTCCGAATGGCTTAGTATCACATTCTTCGGCTTATTATCACTAGAGTTGGATTCAATGGAAGTGTTCGTCAAATTAGTAGTCAATGGCGAAGAACTGGATATATTATGTGTGGAAATCAATGGAATCGATGGCGTGATAACTGTT